CTTCTGTGCTCCTATTGGTCAACCTCATACATGTGACGGAACCATCGTGGACACCCGTTAAAAAAATTAAACATGCTAGTCTTTTTTATTGTGAAGCATCGCAGACGCGACGTAGGTTGTCGCCCACTATGACACACTATACGAGATGATATGATCGAATCTTGCGTCCTGACGCCCATTGTCGTTTCCGAATCCCCATGACACCCTACGTCAAACGGATCGTGCCAAAATCTGGCTAAAATCTTGTAATCTGAACCAGGCATTAGTGTCACTAGCGATAAATAGAATTGCAAAATCAGCAAAATTTCACCGGCAGAAAAAGATTGATTGCATTAAGCACAGCTCACACAGAAGTCCTTTTCAAACCAAGGCGCTTTCTGTTGGTCAACGCGGCAAATTCCCATTAAAAAGTTTAACCTGATACGAAATCTGCAGAGGGAAATCTTTACCCTTACGTAGAATTCTTGACTCTGCAGATTCCTATTGAAATGACTGGATTTCGCTGAGCAACGATGAATGTGACCATAAACACTAATTCGCTTGTTATAATCACTTTTAAATTAAGCATCTCTAATTCTTGATTTGGAGGTCTTCTTTGTCCTATCAATCAACTAATCAATCCAACAGATGGAGACTCATCTCTCGGTGTGGTCTAGATGACCTAAAAATTGATGTCAAGTATCTGGACCAAAAAATGGACCGCGACATTCCAAAGGTTACACAAATAGTAGGAGGTCTCTTTTCATCAAAGAAGTCATGCTTCCACCACAAATATAATCAAGTCTACACGACCCTCGTCACCAACGGTCACAGATCGAGTTGCGACCCTTCCAACAGGTGCATCTCCAAAGCGCACCCTGGGATCTCTAATTGATGGCTCTCACGATATCAAAGGGTGGACAAATAGTAGCTCAGGGCAGTCCTCTGAAGTTGATAGATCCACAGGGTGGTAGAGGAAGGGTCTTCGGGTCAGGAGAAGGGGATGCATCCGAGGCCTTCATTGTACCAATGAAAGGGGCCGTGTTCGAGGCCTAGTTTGTGTAGACCCTGCGGGGGAGAAGATGCATTGGAGGTCCGTTGTGGGGTGTGAATGGGACAGCTGCGTTGGGGAGGATAGGAGGTCCCTTTGTGTCCCTCCAATAAAAATCTGCGACCAATTATCTGTGTCTGTCCCTGAAGTGGAATTCCTGGAGACTTTTTTGAAAAGCACTTGGACTGGGGGAGGAGAAGAGTTTGCTGTAAGGAACGCACAGATGGTGGGATTTTCCTTTAACACCTTCCCCATGTTCTGCCTTGATGGAAAGTTTGATGCGCTAGTCGAAAACAAGTGGACTGGAATACACAATGTCTGCTGTCATGTCTAAATGCTAGTTTTTGAAACAAGCACAATCCTCTTATTTACGACAGGCTTTACTCCCAATATTTTGCACAAAGTTTGAATGTTTTGGGAATAATCTCATAATAGACCTTTTTACAAGACTAAATAAAATCATCACAAGATTAAAGTCATATTATGATAAGAGTACACTCACAAGTACGATATTAAAGTTGTAGGATAATAAATTCTCATAATGTTGAAAACGCATTGACCAGATTGCTTTAATAGTGTAAATGCAAAGGTCGAATGTGTTCGGATAAAAATACTGCATACTCTCTGCTTACTGACTTAATGCGTAAACATAATGGGAAGCGCGTACGCCCGACGGGATTTAAAACTTTGTCGGCTGAAGACCCAAGTCTGTTTTGAAGACAAAAAACATGTAAAGCACAATGTTCTCTCACTATTCCTGATTTCTAACGCTCACTCACTGCTTCAGCGTGGTCTTGTGGCTATCAGAGAAGAAACGAAAGCTGATACTCTCTGTATGCTTTTCTGTCGTCTACTTTCGAGTTCATATGTAAATTGCGCTAGTTTATTTCATCCATTAGATCGAAAGATCTGAAAAGGCCCATACATTTACCCGCCCCATACATAGACGTTTCCCTCGAAAGTGATTGAAAATGGACGAAAGAGACGGATTAAAACACCAGGTGTAAACAAGGCCTTAATGATCTAACTTATTTATTCAATTAGGGATGCACAATTATATACTATATTCCTACATATTGATCTAAGGAAACCCTGTATCGTTGGACTTGATTCTTTACACAACACAACACAAAAACAGCCTCCACTAGGGTTTCTAGAATCCACAATGCAGTTACTAGTACAGACTGATAGTATGGTTTAGTGTGCTAATCCTAGTATGCAATGTAAGTGATTGAAGAAAATTGTTGGCTAGAACGATGTTCAACCATGTGCTAGGCATTAAGTGTTAATTGCTGCTAAATGCCCAGTGTTTAGTACAGCCTCGTTAAGTATACTTTACTTTTCCAATGAAATTTTTCATCTTTGACAGCTGAAATAGGCTTCATTGTAATTCTTTTTGAAATTGCCTCAAATTTGTTATTTTTTTCCTTTCAAATTTTCAGCTTGTTGCTATTATTAAAATTGTCTCGGAATTCATTTTATTTTGTACTTATTTTCCTAACTTCTGGATTATCACTAATCATTTTGTATATGCATTTCAATCCCCTGCCTAATAAAGGTATACAGCCAGCATGCAATTCTTTAATCCCCCCTCACATTGTGAATCTAATTTCCAGACTGTGATCCAGGGCTAATTGGAGAACTTTGGGTAAGGTATGTTGTGCGGGACCTTTGACCTGGTGGGGGTTGGGCATATTATTGAATAGGTATAGAATGACTGAGCCTCCGGTGACCCCGTTCTGACCTTTTCCCTTCAGTCCCACATGGTTGCCAATAGTGATGGCTCCGGTTGATCTTCACCTGTCAAAGCAAGACTTTGACTAAAGACTTGCAGCTTGGGAGGAGGAAACCAAAACAAAAAAAGAAGGGGAAAGAAAAAAAAAACAATACATGAACTGGTCTCTAACTGGCATGGCTTTTCAAAACAGAAATGCATGACTGACCATCAGAGGTAAAACACATTCATTACACGTGTGTTTTCATGCCCATTCACTTTCTATACATTATTTTCTTTTTCTGTTTTTAAGCTGCTGTAACATCTCCTTTTGAGCTATAAAATACATGTTCTGCATCAGCAGGTATGTATAAACGATAAAAGCCGACCGCCAGCAGCCAAGGTGGCGAGTCTTAAGCTCTGTTTGGTGTTGTAATGCTATGGCATGTCTTTCAGTATCTTCTAGAGTGTTTTTCAAAGGGCTGTTATTTGAAAACATGGGCAGTTGAATGATGACTGGTGTTCTTTCAACAAGAAACCTATAGCTTCCTCTCACCTCTTGGATTTCATCACACTTTTTGTTCTCAAACTGGAAAGTGTTTGAAAGGCAACAAGATTGCTAGTTAATGCCTAGTAATGCTAATTCTCCCAAGAATAGCATTTCTTCCAGTTGGTAGTGTGTCCATGATAAAGAAAAAGAAGAAAATCTTTACTGTCCCATGAGGCCACGGGAGAGGATTTATGAATGGCAGTGATGCGATGCAACTGGCGCTGGTAGGTTACGTAATAAGGACAACATGCCAAATGTAGTACGTCATGATTACAATCATACACACATTCATACAATATCGACCATACTTTTTTAGCGGTTGTAAAGTAATTACTTATTCAAAATAAGTACCTACTTACTTAGATTTAGGACACAGCCTAACAGATGACTGAAAAGGGAAAAGAATTAGGGGCTAGATACTTTCGAAATGTGGGTGGAGACTTTGAAATGTGAGAGTTGCACTCAAAAATTAATGCAAACTTGCAGTCAATATTGGAGGGGTTTAAGCAGACCAATGGCGCTTTTCCACTAGCAGTACCAGCTCGACTCGTCTCGGCTCGTTCCTCGTTACCTTATCAATCTCTCGCAGGATCCTCTCTTCGGCCACCAAACAAAGGAAAGTCTGCACCTCCTCGTTTGACCATGGCGTATTCTTCCGAGTTGCCATAATAATAGTAGTAGTTAGTTTAGGATCTAGTATCTTTAGTAATCTCTGGCCAAACGATTTAAAAATGGCAGGGTTATTCTGGATACTCCATCTGGTGCGTGTAATGATGATGCAGTGAATGGTGACGATTCTCTCTGACCAATCAGCAGTCGGCATTGTTTTCACGTGACATTTTAGTATCACCTAAGCTCATTTAGAATCTCGCCGGAAGTGGTACAAAAAAGTACCGAAAGCAGGAACAGGTGCAACTTTTACACAGTGGAAAACCAAACAAAGGCGAGCCGAGTTGAGTCGAGCTGGTATTGTGTAGTGGAAAAGCGCCATAAATGATTGGAAAAGTCTGGCATATGACATTTTCATTAAATCGCACAAAAACGAAAAAATGAAACATAAATATGAATGCATGCTAATCATATATGAAGTGCATTCAAGTTTTCGTTTATATAAATATTTGTAATGCATTTTTAGTAAATGAATACATAGAGGGGGAAAGCATCACGTCATTGACCTCAGTGATCTCGGAACGCTTGGAAAGCATGGCTTTTTGGACTTGAGAGAGCAGACAAGGAAGCTAACAAGCTCAGTCTTTCGGATAACACAAGTGGCCTCCTTGTAAAAAGCCAATAATCCTTACAGTTCTGGTTGAGTAGCTTAAGACCCCCCTTGATCTTTGGGAGGATGGGAGTCAAACATTCCAATCTGGACGATCCCCTTTGGCGATCTCCGTCAGTGTAAAAGACAAATTTGGCCCAAATCCTTTTCCCCGTGAGTTTTATTTGCGTTTAAAAGAGGTTATGAAAATAACTTTCTGTCGTGCCTTTGTCGAAGTTTAGGGGTCCGAGCTGGATGAAGCTGGAGGGGGTCTAAGTCTAGAGTAGTTTTGAGTGAGTCTCCTTGACGAGAAGTTGGCGTTTTTTTCTCATCTGCTTCTTTGTTTGTTTCAGCAGACCTCAACAATTCCGCCTGTTCCTATGTGCAGTCTTTAAGGGGTGTGAGAAATGGTGGGGGCTACCTGTTAACAGTTGTGCTTTTATTCCAGGCACCCTAGGGAGGCAGCAAGCACGGTCCGCTGCTGCTTAAAGACTTGGCCGTGGTGCCAAAGACACATCTGGTCCGTTTGAGCCGTGCAGATGCTACTTGGAACCATCTCCATCTCAACAAACTGTCTGAAAGAATACGGCACATGTAATAATGAGCTCTTTTTCTTCAAATGGTCTCATCGTCAGAGCATTTGGACTGAGATGAGGCGGTTTCAACAGGAATATAATCTGGAACGAATTGAGCAAATTATAACTCTGACTGGTAAATCTCAAATTCCCAGTGTCTTTTCATGTAAACTGGCTGAAATACTGTGAAAGGCCAAAGTTCTCAGCAAATACATGGCAAAAATCCAATATATGTCTAGTGACAAATTAACGGGCCATTATAAGCCATTGTGTTGCCTGATGTACATGCTAGGTAAAAAATGCATGAATTTCCATGCTAGCCAGAGCTAATCTATTTTGGTTAAAGGCCTACGGTATGTGTCTGTCTGTGTCACATCTAGATCGATCTATCTATCTATCTAGAAGGGGCGCGTCCCATAATGCAATGCTTTTTGATAACCGCCACAACATGAATAAGAGCAGAACAAGATGAGACATATATCACAGATGTTTACCAGGGGGCACATTACAGAAAGATACTAACTTTACAATCCGATCTTATCTGTTTGGTAATCATGGCAATTTCAGTTAAGACCTAATTTAGGACAAATCTATACGACAATTCACGATGACGTCACTACAGTAATAGACGTTCTTCCGGGTGGCAAAACCCGAAGCATTCCTATGGCAACGCTAGTAAATTGCTTGGAAGGGAGACCCACCGTCAAATATAAAAATGTAATAAAAATAAATAAATAATGCGTTTTTTTTTTTATTATAATAACAACTGTTTTTAATGACAAAAGTAAAAAATATAATAAATGTGTAATATAGTAGGCCTACACATAATTAGAAAAATACTCTCTAGCTCTTTTTTTCTAGCCAAAATAACGTGGCCTATCATGGTCATTAAATGGCTTTCCTGAGGTAAATGTTATGTGACATTTGTTCTCCAGCTGTTATACAGTATTAACCTGTTTGCGCGGTTGAAAAACATTGATTGGTCGATATTATACAGTATATGAGGAATATACATTTCGGTTAGTTGAGTGAGAAAATGGATGTGTGGTGTGTGAAAAGTGACTATTGCGTGAGAGTGGGCTGCCCTCTTTTACTTCAGGCAGTGACTGACAAGTTTACTAATATTCGTCTCGAGTGATTGTCCCGGCTGAAGATAAATGCTCTGCTATGTTTTTATAGATGGACAGTTTTGAGAATACACGAAGCAGAGTTGAAGGGGTTGGCAACAGAAATGTAAACGCTGGATGAATCATATAATTTAGGACATCATTAAGATTTCCTACTTTTGACGACACAATGTTCACACTCGCTATAACCTCCTCACCCACAAGAAATCGATACAACCCCCACACCTTTTGCTGTAAATCTGGCAGCGCAACCCCAAACACAAGACGTTTTCATCATCGATTCAACTTTGATCAACAACAATGTGTTTAACTATGTAACTGTTACAGTTGCCGGCTGGATCTCTTCAGTTAGTCAGTAGAAGCCGCTCGCGTTCTGCCACTCGGAAGTATCTCGGTGCCCGTTTACAAACATTCTGAAATGCCGTATTACAAAAGGACATTTCTTAACTGCATTTAATCTTATCTTAAATACAGATGGGAAAGGGTATTACAGAAGCATCCTAAGTCCACAAAAAAAAAATCCTCAAAACTGTCTACCCCTATAATGTCCCAATTTCAAAATTATTTGAAAGACAAAAGCATTGCCCTGCCGGAGAATTGCATTACATGTATTAATGATACAAGATGAATACAATAATACAAGACTTTGTGAACACGCAAATGATGTGCTGCACTTTGAAGACAAAACTGAAATAAAAGGATTAGGCTTTGCCTTTTCTGCCAAGCTTATCAAAACTTCACTTAATGTAAGCACCAATTATTTTGTATCTCCATTTTCTCTAGAGTTTTTCTGTACTCCACAGGAGCTGTTTGGGCATCATTGGTTGCTTGGTAACAGACCTGAGAGTTGATTACCGAATTCAATGGAGGAGAAGATTTCATCAAGATGTTAGGTCTGGGAACTCATCATTGACAGGGCTCAATCCGAGGGGTGGGATAAACGGTTGACTTTCAAATTCTCTCTGCATGCAATTGGATAGCGCTACAACCAATCAGAGCAATGAAGAAGGTGAAGGCTGAGTCTCTTGCGTTTTCCCAGTTGATAGATTAAACTTTTACCGTATCCAGTCGGCAAAACTCGAACAACTTTTTTTTTCTTTTTAATGACTCAAGTGCCGTTCTTTGTTCTGGTTTCAAAGAAAAGCTTATGTTCAAATCATCCAGAGTAGCGGTCAAAGCCGAATCGAAAGACAGCTGTTCGCCAGCAGCAGCCATTCTTTGTTATCAAGTAGCAGTGAACCGTCGCAACTCTGTCGTCATTGTGATAGCCGGCCCGCCGACTCTATACACAATGTGATTGGCCTGACCAGAGTTTGGTTTTTCCAGCTAAAACATCTATGGAGAGTTGCTATGGACCACACTGGCTGCGAAATAATTTTTGCTGCCGCTAGGGTGCATCTAGATTTCTAGGCTAGAGGTTTTGTAATATAGGATAAGAATCCTAAATCAACTTAAGATTTGCTTCTGTTATACGAATTTGTGAAAAATCCTAAATTAACTTTAGATCTTAACTTAAGACTTAAGGCCGTACACACCCGTCAGCGTTTTTCAACGTGATTTTCGCTGATGATAAGCCGAGTGAACATGCAAATTCATTCCCTGACAATAGATGATGCCAATTTGCTCTGCAATGCCACTATCAGTTTTCTTTTATCAAGATGTTTCTAGTCCCTGTCACGTTTGTCATATAGTTCTTTATATTCTAGCAACAACGAGACCAGCAGCTTTACACTCATCTTGCCTTGCATCTTCCTCATCTTATTTCTTCCTGGCTGTGTAGACGGCGACGCTACTTGGCGTATATCTTCTTCGCCGTTGCATATGTGTGCTCGGCAAGACCGCTTTGTGTTTGAGCGCCCCAAGTTATTTTTTACTGTAACTTCAGAAGCTCCAAACACGTGAGAAAAAGCGCCATCTCATTGGTCGGATAGTTTTTGATGCAGCGCGTCAAACGAATCCAAGGCGTTTTACGTGTCGATGTGCACGCTCACATTGGCGCCCTTTGTTTAGTCACGAGGCGTTAAACGTCGGCGAATAACGCACGCGAAATTCATCCCGGTGTGAACAGGCCTTTAAGATAGAAAGTTTCTGTAATACGCCCCTGGAGTCTGATTCTTTTTTGTAGTGTGAAATGCATTATATTTTCTCCATCTTTGATGTCACAGCTCAGTATAGTGACTAGTAAAGGGTTTGAGACTGCATGTCCACAAAGGTCATATTTTGGGTAGTCTAAATCTCTGCAACTGAGCCACGTCATCTGCCATCATGTCTTTCAACAAGTACATGCAAAACCCCAACTTTGCCAAGAGCGTTTTTATGTTACAATATTTTCATCAGCCTTCAAACTTTGAATAATCAGACTATAAATAATTGGTTTCTAGACAGTATGATGAAGTGCACGTTCACACACACCAAGAAGGTGCAACCTGATGTCCACGGACCTGTTCCAGTGTGAATGGAAAAACTGCACTGTGACGCACACAAGATCTTACGGGTGTTGCTTGAGAGAGAGACACAGTTCCATGTGGCCCTGGAGAGCCATGAAGCACCGTTCCTGGTCCAGTCCAGACAGAAGGGCCTGTCTGGAATGCAATGTGTTGGCCATCTGCAGACGGATGTTCATAGCCGTTCTCCAAAGACCAAACACTCGCCTGAGAAAGTCCACATCGGAACATCGGATGGTGGCAGCTGCCCAATTTTCTCATCTCTTTGCTGTTCTCCATTCATATGAGAGCATACAATGTGGAAACTCATTCTTTGGTTGATTTATTGATTTAGTAATCAGTCCAAACATCTGCTTGCGTGAAAACTAGGTCACGCTGAAAACCAAGGACACAACAGCGATGGTTTTGTCAGAGAATTAGGTTTCTCTGAGAAATATGCGACTTTTATCAACACCGAGTTCATTGGGACATGCTCGGGTGACGGAACTAGGATGGAAGACTAGAAAGACTTCCGTTCGCTCTTATTGTCTCCTCAGCGTTCTCTTGAGATGAGGGTTATGGACTGCAGAGAGGTTGAATTTGGCTGCATTCCAGCCACATCTGCTCTACTGCTGTTGTACTTCTCTCTCTCTCTCTTATTTTTACACTTACTGCTCGTTTTTTGCAACACACACACTTTTTTAGGTTTTAGCAAGACACTAATGACACGTTGCCTATAGATTAGAATTGAACCAAGGCGTTCCTTCATTTCCTGATTCGGTTGGGTAGATGACAGGATAAAAATGGTTAGTCTTTCAGGTAGCTTTACAGGAAGGTTTCTTCAAACCAGAGTTCTTCTGGATTTAGTCTCAGAGTTATTCTGCTCTTCACTATATTGAGACTCGCAAAGACAGCCACGAACATTGGATTCGAGCAGCAGAACTTCAAAATCCTCTTCTTCCAAATCATGTTTAGTTTCTTCCGTTATTGTCATAACTTACTATCTCCATTGCGCTTGTTAGCTTAGCTTCCAAACAAGATGGCTAATATTGATTTCAGTTTCTGCAAGTGAAGTCCCACCCACTGATCTGTAATAGGCCTGTAGGGTGAGTGGGTCCCACACCCTTGAATAATGAGGAGCTAAGTTTGTAGTGTCTACACATTTCAATGAAATGTGACTGCTTATTTTGACGCAAAATGACGATTTTTACATCTTAATAAGCAGGAAGGAAAAGACTTAAATCCTTATTTCTCCCATCTCAGGGGGAAATAAGGGAATAAACCATGACCATTCAAAAATATATGACTGGGTTTCTAAAGACACAAAGCTTAATGCAAATGGGTGAAGTGTCCCTTTAAATATATAAATATAATGGTCAAGATGCCAGGAAGAAAGAATGAATAAAAAAGGCAAATTGAACAGGCGGGAGGTGTGCGTATGTCTGTCGGGAAGGGAGCTATAGCTGGGAAAAGGAGAGTAAAAACAAGGCCCTGTCAATTAGTTGCATCTAATCAGTGACACTGCACTGCGCTTGAACCTGCCCTGGATGCCAACAGCAGACAATTATAAACCTCGTGAGCGCTCACTGCACAGAGAGAGTGGGGGGCGGCTAGAGTCGTGCACTGAACTCCTGACCCTCTTCACACACCAAGCGTCTGTTGTGGACTCCGGGAGGTGCAAGATGGGTCACAGCAAGCTGTGAAGGAGACCAGGGCTGGGGGAGCATGGGGCATAGTGAGGGGTGGATGGAGGGGAACAGTAGCTACTGTGCAGAGAGATTACCCTGCCACTGTGCTGCCATCAAAGCCGCAGCTGAGATGGAGGATATACGTGCCATGTCATCAGTAAACAAGTTGGCGATTCGATCATTTACGTTTTTACAAAAATTGCAATTTTCGGCAATGGCTATTTGAAGTACTTAAGGTTCCTCTTATCACTGAGCATTCTGTACACATGCACTCTTAAAAATAAAGGCATTGATGGTTCCATAAAGAACATTTCTTTTCAAATCCACAAAAGCTTCTTTATTTAGACTTTAACTTTTAAACTATTGTATTAATATACAGTACATGCATTAATATGTGGTAACATTTTTCCCTTTAAAAAACTGTTCCAAAAATCATGAAATTTTGTTGTTTCATCATG